TCCTCTAACATCCTACCTGCCTTGTGGACATAGTAAACTCCATTCCTGCAAAAGTGAAGAGACCTCACAACAAATGAGTCATGATGAGTGCCTCTGCTCCAGTTTTTGGTCTGTATTTTTTAGTATGAGCACTCAAGCAGGACTAACTGAAGAGGCTCATTCCTAGTAGACGCGGAGGGCATATTTTGTGTTTTCTAGTGCCAAACACACACCAAAGGATTAGGTGCTAGAATGAACAATGAGTTTTCTCCATTTTCTGATTATTTTCACAGGCATTTCTATTATCTTTAACTTTCTTCTTCTAAAACACACACACACACACACACACACACACAAACACCGCCTAAAGAAAATTACTAAAGAAATTACTGGGTTCTTTATTTACATTTTATTACAACCTTTACTTCTTGGTTTTCATAGGAAGAAGTGACAAGGACAACGTTAAGAAGTTGGCCCTCACTGCTGCAGGATATAGGAAAGAACTGGAAATTGAGGGCAGGCTAAGCTGGATAAGGATAAAATTAGCCTTCAAGCATATGACTACCAGGAAATAATAAACTACCAGAATCAAGATACCCTGAGTTGTCATCGGGGAGTAAATCAAGTCATAACTCTTTTCTGAAGGACACAAGATAGCAGGGAGGGCAATCCAGCAGGTTTTATAGCCCTGTGCTCACCAACCCCCCACTTGCCAATTCAAACATTTGAGTAATTACAAAAGGCTGGGGTGTAGTCTACCCTTCCGATGGCTTTGTAAGACACAAATGCCAGATTCATAAGAAAGATTTGAGAAAACAGGGCATCGGTATAATTAATCACAGATAAAACTCTGTCTCCAGTTAGTAGCATTGATGACCCTCATGTTTAAAGGGCCATTGTGACTTTAGGCTTGATCTTTTCCCATTTCTACATAAATGAAAACAACCCCTGGAGATGGCCAGCCTCAGCCGACCTTTCCAAAGTGGCATCAAAGCCTGAGATGCAACAAAAAGGGTGGTGCCAACATTTGTCTTCTGCCTCCCAGCTCTCCCTCAACCTCAGAGCTTTGAAAATTATGGATGTCTCTAAAAGAGCAACGGGAAGATAGAGGTGACTTGTGCTAATGAAAGGGTCCAGTGCTATCAGGGGGGTTGGGAGCTTATAGAAAAAAGCCATGTGAACCCTGTTCTCAGTCACCACTCAAAAGCCATCTTCCACACATATAAAGTTTCAGATGGGCTGCTGATTGAAATACTTTTTTTTTTTTTTTTTACTGTTCTCTACCTATCAATGTCATCAAAAGCAGCTATCCTCAAACACTAAGAAGTTAATTTACATTATATTAAAATTTAGTAATATTTATGTGCATGTTAATGATTAGAAGACTACAGAATTTTTTTATATTCTAGATCATATCTTACTGTTTATATTTTACATGATTTTCTATATACCTTTTATATTTATTTATACATTTTAATCATCATTAACATGTACCTAAATATTCTTTTTCTTTCCTTCTTTTATTTTTTGCACTTTACCACTGAGCTACGTCCTCATCTCCTTTTATTTTTTTATTCTGAGACGGGGTCTAGCTAAGTTTCACAGACTGTCCTTGAACTTGTGATCCTCCTGTCTCAGGTAACCTAATCACTGGGCTTATAGGCATGCACCACCATCCCTGGTCCTAATTATTCTTAAATTTAGTAATACTAAGAATTATACTTCATAGTGAGGCCAGTTATGGGGGAAAAATATTTTGCTCGTCCGCATTTAGAATTTAAAAGTTGTACAAGAGGGTTGTGGAGTATAAGCAGAAGTATAGTTACAAGTCAAATGCATTAATACATTTGGAAAGTCCTTCCATAACAGACGGATACTTATTCTGCAAAATTTATAAAGGAATAAGCCAGGAATTGATGAGTAACGATGAACAACAAGAAAATAAACTTGATGACAATAACAGACGACATGTTTATCAGAAGATGTGGATCCTCCTTCTGATTCTGCTATGAGCTACCTGGTTGACTTGGCCTGTGCCGTTAGCAAACATTTATTGGGGATCATGGAATACTTTGTATGTTGGGGGGTGACACAAAGATAAATAACATTTGGTTCTGGACCTTGAAAAGTTTATGAGCTGGTATGGAAGATAAGAAATACAACCATAGCTAACATCTGGCAGGATGAGAGAAGTCCAATTCAAACACATGAGATTGTAGACAGAGGAAAGGATAATTTCTGTCTGAAGAGAAGAGTTTGAAGGAAGGTTTTATGGGAAAGTAGTTTCTGATTGAGCCTCATGGAATGCATAAGTGTCTGACATGAAACTCAAGGAGGAAGGTCTCTCAGAAGCAGTGTGTGAAGTTGTGTTCACAGTTCTCACGCCAAGTTCAGCCACCAGATGTCTTTAGCCTGGGCAAGGTCACCTAATCCTCAGCACTCCTCTTTGGACTCTCACCTCCTCGCCTTCGTCATTTACATCATTTGACTGGCTCTGCAGACATTTGGGATTGTGACACTTGTAATAGAGATGTGGAATTTTTGAGATAAGGAGCCTACATAGTACTTCCAAAAGAATGGACAGAGCCAACAGCAGCTGAGTCCAGAAGCTTCATGCTTCTAGCTGTGCCTTGGGAAGTAGTTTCTGGTATCACTGTGGAGGAGAAAAAGAGGGGTGGGGGGCCAATAAAGAGAGACAGTCAGGGAGGTGAATCACCTGAGGACGAGACCACCAGGACCTGAGCTGAGGCAGTAGAATGGAGACCAAGGGAGCTTTGGATTCTGGGTATTCTTGAAGGAGGAAGTGGAATCCATCCTTCCTTTAAACTTTATATCTCCAAGGTCTAGGTAAATATGTCATTAAGAAAGGAAAAAGAAAGGAACAGACTTGACGAGGAAGATCAGTTCTTCATTTTGAGATGTGATGAGTCTGAAGGGCTTATAGGACATTGAAGTAGGAGTGTGTAGCTATGGTTCTCAACCAGGTTCACAATAATTTGGCCTCGGCCACCCACATCGCACACAGTAGAGGTATGGAAATGTGTGGAGATGGTATTGGCTGCCATATCTGGGAGGATGCTACTGGCAATTAGCAGTAGTCCAGGGGTGCTGTAAATAGTCTACAAGGCACAGACAATCCCTTGCCCGCAAGAGAGAATTACCCTGGACATCAACAGGGCAGAGGTGGAGAAATCTTAGTCTAGATCTTAGTCTAGAGATAATAGAAACTTCTAACCTGGATTTTTTGAGAGTAGACTAGATACAGATGAGAACTTTGAACCCCTCACCCTTCTGTAGGAGATGTGAGAGAAGATCAACCACTTTAGAAGTGTGTACAAAGGAAAGAAAGGCAGGGACTAATCAAATCCTAGGTAACTACACTTCACCAGCAATATGAGTTCAGTGGGTTGAAGTAACGCCAGAGGCTCTTTCATATTCAAAATACAATGATTTTATGACTGTTCTTAGCAACTGTGAATCTATAAAGATAGACATAAAGGAGGATGGAAATCATGGAGCAGATCAGTTCAGCCATGAATGTGAAGACACATTGTGGTATGTAGGAGGGAAATATTATATATTGTCTAAAATTTTCATCTGCAAATTTGATATAGAACCACACTATTATAGGGCAAGAAATTTAATACAAAAAAGGAGACAGGTGCAAAAGAAAGAAGGAAAGAAGATAGCAAAAAAGTAAAAGAGAAATGAAATAGGGAGGGGAAATGACAAGACCAGGAAAAGAAGGAGGGGAGAGGAGGGGAGGGGAGGGGAGAGGAGGAGAGAGGAGCCTAAAGACATCCTCTAAAGTCTGAGAGAATACAGTATGGAACAGTTATGCATATGGTTCCAAGGAATAAGACTAGCGGCCATTCTTAATAAGTTTTTGAAACTGTGATACTAGAATATGGTCCATGGACAGCAAAATCTGCTTCGTGAGTGGTGTCATCAATGTTTTTCAAAAGCTAGGCTCACACAACATGACAAAACAATGCCTTGCACTATATTCTCACACTTGAATTTTGCTGTAACTCCACTCCAGTGGGCTTGGTGAGTAGAGCGAGCCCAGAGCAGGGCGACCCTGGAGAGGCAGTGCAGCTCTCCAAAGCAAATGGAAAATAAGTTTACAACAAACAAGAAGATGATCCTTTCACACTCAAATCATCCTGTAGCTTTGAAAGACAAGGTGCACATGAAAATAGCAAGCTAAAGTAGCCAACCATAGAGCCAGGAGCCAGAAAGACCTTGAGTTCAAGTGCCAACCCACCATCCATTGACTCCTGCGGACTGCAAGCTGGGGGATGTCTCTGAGCCTGGACTTCCCTTCTCCTAAAACATGGATGATAAGCCCCTGCCTCCTATGAGCTCTGTGACAATTGGATGAGATAACAAATGTAAAGGGTTCAGGCCAGCAGCTGGTGTGGGGTGGTGACTGTCCCCAGTAGCTGCTGTTAAGTGACATATAAATCCCATTACGCTAATCAATGACCGAAAGAGAAAAACAGTAGAACCCACATTCCAAGGCAACCAAAGTACAATACATTAGAGAAGGTAATGCATTTGAAAACTGAAATGGATTTGTAGAACTGGAAATGGCTTTCAGAGCTCTCTTGTCAAATTTCCTCATTTTATTGATAGGAAAATTGGGGGAGGAAATGAAAAGGCTATTGTGGGTTGGATATACATGCACCAAAAAAGGTCTTAATTAAAGGGAGGTTATTCAAGTTCAGCCAGCAGATGTCTTTAGCCTGGGCAAGGTCACCTAATCCCCAGCACTCCTCTTTGGACTCTCACCCACTAGCCTTCGTCATTTACATCATTTGACTAGCTCTGTAGACATTTGGGATTGTGACACTTGTAATGGAGATGTGGAATTTTTGAGATAAGGAGCCTACATAGTACTTCCAAAAGAATGCATAGAGCCAATAGCAGATATAAATGTATATATAAATATATATCTGAAAGAATAAACCAGGAAAATAAAGGATGTGCTTCTCCTAAGACAGAGCCAAGTCACTCACCTGTCCAGGAGCAAGTTGGGAGCAAAGAGTAGCTTCCCTGGGTGCTCCATGGAGCGCCAGACAAGACCAATCATTAGGATCTCTAGCCAGGCACATTCCAGAAGATGGACCTGATCGTGGAGGTTCAAATCCCCAAAGCCTGAAACATGACAAGAAAAAATAAACTCTGCTGAGTTAAAATGAAAAGCATTCATCACTGGTGGAATCAATGCAACCAGGGATTGCAACCATTTGGCTGTGTTTTCTATTAGATGGAATTAAGCGTAATAGAGGCACACCATATAGGAACGTCAAGGAACTATTATTTAAACCTAGCTCTATGAATAAATTTGTTGTGGTTTTAAGTTTTTTAATGACGTAGTGTCACATCTAAAGAAATACATAAACTTATATAACCCACTTAGCTTTCTGTACTTAGTAATGAAGCTTAAATGCTTTCTACTTTATAAATTTTTTATTTGTTTTAATTAGTTATACATGACAGTAGAATACATTCATGCACTTTGATACATCATACACAGATAGGATACAATTTCTCATTTTTCTGAGTGTACATGCTATAGAATCATATTGGTCATTAGTCACATATATACATAAAGTAATAATGTCTGTTTCATTTACTGTCTTTCCTATCCTCACATCCCCTCCCCTCCTGTCCCTTCATTTCCCTCTACCTAACCTAAAGTGATGCTATTCTTCTCTAGTGCCGCACCCTCTCTTATTGTGAATTAGCATCTGCATATTAGAGAAAACATTTGGCCCCTGGTCTTCTGGGATTGGCTCATTTCACTTAGCATGATATTCTCCCACTCCATCCAGTTACTGGCAAATCCCATAATTTCACTCTCCTTTAAAGCTGAATAATATTCCACTGAATACGTATACCACATTTTCTTTATCCTTTCATCTATTGAAGGACACCTATGTTGGTTCCATAGTTTAGCTATTGTGAATTGAGCTGCTGTAAACATTGATGTGGATGCATTACTGTAGTATGCTGACTTTAAGTCCTTTGGGTAGAAACTGAGGAGTGGGATAGCTGGGGCAAATGGTAGTTACATTCCAAGTTTTCTGAAGAATCTCTATCCTACTTTCCATGGTCGTTGCACCAATTTGCAGTCCCACCAGCAATGTATGAGTGTACCTCTTTCCCTACATCCTCGTCAACACTTATTGTCGCCTGTATTCTTGATGATTCTGGCAGGAGTGAGATGAAATATTAGTGTAGTTTTGATTTGCATTTCTCTAATTTCCAGAGATGTTGAACACTTTTTCATATATTTGTTGATCAATTGTATTTCTTCTTCTGTGGAGTGTCTGTTCAGTTCCTTAGCCCACTTATTGATTGGGTTATTTGATTTTTGGTGTTTTTTGAGTTCTTTATATATCCTAGAGATTAATGCTTTATCAGAAGTGCATGTGACTAAGATTTTCTCCCAATCTGTGGGCTCTCTCTTCACGTTAATTGTTTCCTTTGCTGAGAAGAAGCTTTTCAATTGAATCCATCCCATTTATTGATTATTGATTTTTACTTCTTGTGCTTTAGGAGTCTGGTTAAGGAAGTCAGATCCTAGGCCAACATAGTGAAGATTTGGGCCTACTTATTCTTCTATTAGGCATAGAGTTTGTGTTGATTTTAGTGCAGGGTGAGAGATAGAGGTTTAATTTCATTTTGCTACATATGGATTTCCAGTTTTGCCAGAACTATTTGTTGAATAGGCGATCTTTTCTCCAGTGAATGTTTCTGGCACCTTTGTCTAGTATGACGTAACCAAATTTATGTCTAGTATGACATAACCAAAATTCTACTCTGAACCATTGGTCTACAAGTTCTATTTTGGTGGCAATACTATGCTACTTTTATTACTACAGTTTAAGGTCTGGTATTGTGATGCCTCCTGCTTCACTTTTCTTGCTAAGGATTGCTATTCTGAGTCTCTTACTTTTCCAAATAAATTTTATGATTGCTTTTTCTGTTTCTATGAAGAATGTTATTGGGATTTTAATAGGAATTGCACTAAATCTGCATAATGCTTTTGGTAGTATGGCCATTTGGACAATATTAATTCTGCCTGTCCAGGAACATGGGAAATCTTTCCATCTTCTGAGGTTTTCTTCAATTTCTTTCTTTAGTGTTCTGTAGTTTTAATTGTAGAGGTCTTTCACCTCTTTTGTTAGATTGATTCCCAGGGATTTTATTGTACTTATGACACTTTTAATAGCCCTATTTGGCTGCTATTCATTTGTGCTTCGTTGAAAATACAAAGGTGCAAGAAATTTAAATTACTTGTCTTATACCATACAGAAACTGGCACTCAGGTAGGACCAAAGTCATTAAACATCTATTTTTTCTTCATATCTAAAAGATCATATCATATGATCTTCTTTCATAATCTGTCGAAAACTCATGAAATAACATGTAAGTAAGTCACTTGGGAGAATGAAACAGATGATTAAAGGTGACATTATGATTACTTTTGATAAAAAAAAAACATTAAAATGTGTCCTTTTTCCAAATTGTTGATTAGGATATTAAAGCTTTTTCCAATCATTAATGACAAATGCTGGATGCTCAAAATATAACAACAAGGAAGAGGAGGAAGAACAAAGAGAAGAAGGTGGCAAAGGAGAAGAAAATGGAGGGAAGAAGAAGAGGAAGAAAGAAAGACCAGCTTATGAGTGCCTTACTATAAGTTAGAGGCAGCGCCAAGTGCTTCCTGTACTTGGTCTTTCTCATTTTTATTAATACAATACTCAGAAGAGGTGGGAAGTGACACCTATTTACAAGATAAGAAAACAGATACTCAGAGATGGGAATGTCATCTCCAGTGCTTGTGCCCTTGACCACAATTAGCATGACCTCTTCTTAATTATAGAATTTGAATTGAATGACCAAGTAAATCTAACCACACACATAAGGATAAATTAGTGACAGGGAAATTAAATGAAGACACGGTCCAAAAAGTTTTTTGTTTCTCAGATCAGCTTTCTGTTCTTTGGCCCAGGGGCGCAGTGTATTTCCTTCTTCTTGCTCCTTACCCTCAGCTCTGTTCCCACTTATCCATGAGAATGGCTATATAAATCTTATTTTTTAATGTCCTCTTCTTTTTTTTTCTTGCTATTTCTAATTTAATTAGCAATCTAATATTGCATTAATTGAAAAGTCAAAATGTAAGATGATTTCCTTAATTAGTCAAGTATAAATGATCTGCCTAGTGGATATTTCTTCTTGAGGGTCTTGGTGTTATCCACAGCTCAGCCTTAAATAATTAGCTCATATTTGTACATGCCTAGGCATTGTATAGCACTTAATCCTCATCACCAAATAAGTGGGATCCAGATACAGAAATTTAAGCCTGAAACAAACCTCACAGCCTATGTCCCCTTTCTTGCCATCATCTCATCATCAAACCTAATCCATTAGTCTTCCTCTCCTCTCTGTTCCTACAGTTGACAAAGTCAATTCCTAACCACCTCTTACCTTTTTGTATGACTTCCCTATTACTCTAATAATACTTAATCATGATGTTGCTTGTATAGATAGTTGATTCTTTCTCTCGTGGAGTGGATTATTGAATCACTAAGTACACATTTATCCTATCATTGGACATTTCGATTGTTTCCAGATTTTGAGTTATTACAAGTAAAACTGTTATGAGCAATTTATGTATCAGTTTTGGTATGGACATATGCTTCCATTGCTCTTGGTTAGATATTTAAGTGTGCAGTGCTTCTTAGAAACTGCCATACAGTTTTCAAAAGTGGTCGTACCACTTTACATACCCACCAACAATACATGAGAACAGCAGGTGTTCTGCATCCTTGCCCATATCAGTGTGGTCGGTCTTTTTCATTTTAGACATTCTAATAGATATAAAGGTATAACAATGACATTGTGGTTTGATTTGCATTTTCCTAATCATATTGAGCATCCCATGTTTTCTACCAGATCATTTCGTTACACTGTATTCACGTCAATTATTCACGTATCTGTAGGACCCACTAGACTATGAACCTATTAGAGCCACAAAATGGATGATCTCTCAAAGCCCACTTTTTTTAAAGCTCAAATTTATTGCGACTTCCAGAACATCACACAGCCATTCCAGGCCTCATAATAGCATAGCCTTTGTCAGGGCAGGTATCTTTCAACTGGAAAGAATGGATTCCACTCAGGTGACACAGACTGGTATCTGGAGAAATGAGGAAATGGGTGGCATTGATCATAAGAAAATCTTGAAAACTAAAAAGTTATTTTTTGGTTTCAGACCTGCCTGGGGGGAAAAGGAACATAAATATCTGCAATACGTAGATGTTCACCTAGTGCCCTGGGTCAAAAAGGACCAGGCTTTCTCCAGAGGAGACATCACCTGGCTCAACAATAAATGCTTCTCTTTCTTCTGGTCTAATAGGAAAAACCAAACCCAGGGGAAGAACATAAAATGAAAGCCCTAATATGTCCCTCAACTCTCTGAATAAAGTCTCCTAATAGTGAGATAAACCTACCCTATAAATTAAACTCACTTTCAGAAATGTTAACTTTTTGTGTGTGTGTGTGTGGTACTGGGGATTGAACCCAGGGCCTTGTGCCTGCAAGGCAAGCACTCTACCAACTGAGCTACATCCTCAACCTAGAAAGGTTAACATTTAAAAGCAAGTCTTTTTCTGTCTTCTCACAACATTCACTATTTTGTGTACACAAAAACGGTATCACGTGATATGTTTACCCATGAAGAATTTACCCTGTAATATTAAATTCCTTACATAAGCCTCAGAAAATTATAAAGGATGGGCTTGGGGGCTGACTCCCAAGTTCTCAGAACTGCAGTTGGTCATGTAACCAATCAACTTGGGAAAACCAAAGGCCTGCTTTCTGATGGCAACTTTACATTTAAATGGGAATCACACATTTTAATTCTCTCTTTAGAATTCCAGTGTTGTTTAGGTGTGACAGTTTTAGTGGTCTTTTGGGAGCCAAACAAGCTCCCCCTAATCCTTTGTACCATGTAAGTATGGTGATTATGAAATGGGTCTGAGGGATGTCTGTTAGTAATAGTTTTCAATGGAAGGCCAGCAGGATTGCTAGGTCTCTCTATTGAAATGTTGTAGATCTCTCAAATGAATCTATTTAATTATCTT